CCCTTTGACTGCATTTAAAAAGGAACCGGGTGGTTATAGCAGGGCTACTCATGGCACTGCCCCAAGCTGCTGTACAAAGGGCCTGGCTTTTGAACAGCACCAGGACAGTGGACACCCCCCAGRCTCCATGCTGGTCCTGTGTCCCCAGGGACAGGCTGGATGCTGGTGTAAGGAGTGACAAGCACTAGCGCCGCTGCTTCCCAGCCCTAGTAGGGGCGAGATGTGCAGGTGTCTCCCACCTCAGTGTTTCAACTCAGGTGTTGCACCAGCTCTGAGGTTGCCGTCATAGCCAGCAACCACCTCCTCCACGTGTGGGTGGGAAGCGTTAATGAGTGGCCATGATGGAGCCCAGGGCACACATGGTGGTGTCAAGCCTCCTACTGCCCACAAATGCTCCCAGCGACCAGGGGCCAGCCGGACGCCACGCCCATGGATCTATGGAGTGCTGAGAGGCTCAGGTCTCGGGGAGAGGGGGGGGCAGGCCTCAGCAGGACGGGGCACGAGGGCGCACCGAGAGCCCTTAAAATGGCGGAGGCGGCGGCCGCGCTGCGGGCCGGGCCGGCCGCGAGCGCCCTCCCTGCCCGCCAGGGGGCGCGCGAGCCACGGCCGCGCCCGCCGCCCGCCGCGGGGCTGGGAAACGGGACCACGGGCGGGAACGTCGCCATCGGGAACCACCGGCGAACGTGTCGCTTGTGTCTACGAGGGCTGCTGATTCCTTTTTCCTTTTTTCCTTTTTTTTTTTTTTTTTTTTTTTTTTCTCCCTGACTTTCCAGGCACCGGGGCTGTATTCGGGTCTCCTTCCTATCCCTCTTGCAGCCCCCTAATCTCGCTAAGCCTCCCTGTCCCTCCAGGCGCCGGGTCCCTGTACCCACCCGTGTCCCGCTGGCATTCCCACACGAGCGGCTTCTCCCTTTGCAGTGGCTGCGCCCGTGCGGGCCCACACATACCTCTCATAGCAAGGCTCGCGTTGCCGATGCTGAGCGGCTCCACTCTGCGCTGCCGGTATTAAAGCACATCCTGTGTGAATGGGCTCACTTTGGCGAGTGATSCGCATTGTTCTGTGTGGCTGCCCTGTCTTCGCCATTATTTGCCACTTCATCAATTTTTGTCATCTGCTACTGTTGGCACCACTTTATTTATTTATATACTTCTTAAGATGCACTACCCCATCGCTGCAGAAAAAAGAGACCAACTTTCTGTCCCCCCAACCCTTCAACTTCTCCCAGTAGTTCTCGTCAGCAAATATTTTTCCATAGCACTGGCTAACGTGACTGCAGTTATTCACAGATTGGAATTKGTCTTCGACCAGCTCTTCCTCTAGCCTTCCCTGCGCTGTTTCTTTGATTGATGTAAGGTTAATTGGTCCATTAGATAGCTGTTCCTGTCATTTCAGCTCCGGAATTATTCCTGAGCTTGGAATGTGGCAATATTTCACCACGCGGGGCTGTGTGTGCCCCGCATGGCCCCGCTGCACTGCTGCCGCAGACAGCTTAAGTGTGATTGAGTAACCAGGGCCGCCGAAACATCCCGTCGCCTCGCAGCATCCGTCTTGCTTCCTGCACCTCTCCCTGCTCCCCCGAATCCCACCAGGCTTTATTAAGAGAGCTTGGTGGGAGCCATTAACGCCAAGCTGCATAATTACATTGCTCTGAGCTTTGACTCAGTCTTTAGTAGGAGGTAGAAGAAGAAAATGCATGCAGCTCTAGAAATTTATATTCCTCAATGACAGAATTTCTAGTAAATTAAAAGGTTTACTCCATTTACCTAGAAAGTTGTGGTAATTAACAGTAAGAGTCTATCTGCAGAACTACTAGAGGCACTAAAGTAAGGTTGTGAAAACGTGACGCACTAATGAGCTGCCATGTTATTATGCTCATGCTTCACCTTGCAAATTACACATGAAACTCCTACCTACTTTTTTTTTTTTTAGGAGGATGGTTTTGCTGTTCAGTTTGCCTCATTTAGAATAGTGTGAAACAATATTCTGTGCTTGTGTATGTGTGTATATGTATATATAAAATTTTTATTTAAATGCTGTACTTTATTTCATCCTTGCACAGATCAGAATTTTATGCAAGTCTTTGTTATTGTGTGTATATTTGTTAAGGCACATACACAAAGCCTAGCTCAGTTACACACCTTATGCCCATGTATGCGCCCCACTGTCATCTGTGGGACTGCACTCCCGTGGTTGCATTTCAGACCAGGGTGTAGTAACAGGACATCGTTGCCTTCCCCTTCACCCGCCGTACCTGCTGCTACAGGGCAGGACAGAATGGGCCTGAACTTCTGGCCACCTGCTCTCTTTCCTCTCTCTCTGTCACCGTGCCAGGTGCAATGTCCAGTACTTCATCTTCGGATGRGGAGGTGGCACAAGAACCAAACCTTTGCCCTGAGTGGCCTAAGATGATSACAGTGACTTGCAACAAATAACCTCTTTGTGATGGATTAAGAAGCTGAATGGTTTTAATACGTTTGTGCATTAATATTAAGCCCTGGCATCTTTACTTACACTGCTATTAAAACGAAATAGAAAAGGCAAGGGGAGCTTTGGCTCATACTAGTGTTTTGAGTTTCTGGAGGGCTAGCCTAGGCACTCACACTTTCAAATTGTGTCTCACACAGTTGCAGCCTTTCTGCCTCAAAGCTAAAACCTTCAGAGGGAAAAATTAGTCTTTAAGCTGTGTCAGTGTGATGGCCATAGGCCACGTGTTCCTTTCTCCATAGGGAAAAAAAACCCTGGCACTCCCCCTTTAGTGAACTGGTTTTCCTTTTCGGCTGCTTCCTGGTCACAGCATCTTCAGCGACTTGTGTGTGCAGCCAGAGATCATTTTAATGTAATAATCACTGCACATTTAGTCCTTAGCACTAACTGGCTGTAAGAGGGAAGCTGATCAGCCTGGTTTCGATACAGCTTCCCGGGAAGGGACACGAGTGACTGTCTGCCTGTGCCCTTATGCTGTGTGATGCTCTCTGCTTTGGCTTATTTTTAACCCTGGCGGCGTCTAGTAAGTGTCAAATAARCAGCTTCTAATAAGCTGCTTAGAAGCAGTTTCTGTTAAGTGTCTCGGCTTTGCATTTCCTATCTCTAAAGATTTAAACACTGGACCCTTCCTTAAAGGTGTTCAGAGCAGCCACTCGTGTGGCTGTACTTTGCCATTCTGCRTTTAACAGCAAACCAAGGTAGCAGCACTTTTAGAAGACTTTACTTTTTTAGTGATGTATCTTTAAAATAATAACATATTCATTCGTAGCGATGTTTTATTTCACCTGGCAATTGCAGACAGAATTCAAACATTTTGTCATCTCAGATTCTCATGCAAATGCAGCCTATTCTCTCCCAGACAATCATTGCAGGCTGCTATTTTATGCACTGCTTTTTTTCCTTTTTTTTTTTTTTTTTTTTCCCCCCTCTCTTTCTTTTACAGTCATTCAGCCATCACTTAAAAGTGCCTCTGAAGAGTGGCAGTGGTAACTGGCTTTTTTTTTTTCTTTCTTGTCAAATGCAAATCTCTCACCTCCCAAGTGTGAACGTACAAAGCTCTCTTGCTGGTATATAGTTTTTTAATAACAAAATTAGGCCACAGTTAGCTAAGCAGAGTGACCTGATTCGTGCTGGATCAACATGCTACCAACTCGAGGTTGTCACTATAAAGCAAGCGTGGTGAAGTCTGCCTGTTCCCACTAAAATCAAAGCAGTCTCTTGACATACAGCCGTGCTGAAATCAGCACTTTGCACAAAGCGCCTCTAAATGCAGACTGAAGGCTCCTCTCTTCTGGGYGGGTATGCCACTACCGGGCCCCAACTAATTATTTATAAACAAAAGAATTTTTTTTTGTTGTATTTTGACCTAGGAGGCTCTGAGAGAAAGCTGAGTTGCTGTTTGGCTTTTCCTTACCTATGGAAGATTTGGCTTTGCAAGGTGTATTTAATGTTTTCTCTAAAGGCAGCCGCCTGAGAGTCCCACGGAGTAATTCCCTTGCTGAGTTAGCAGCCTGGCCCATTAGAAAGACGGAGGCGGGGGGAAATAAATAATAATAAAAAAAGATACTGGCAACTGTGAAGCAAATGAATCGATACGGGTGCAAGCGGATCAGTTTGCTCCTTCCCGCATAGCCAGGAAAGCAGTAGCACGGCTGCAAGGTCTGACACACAGGTTCAAAAAACAAATATAAACAGGCACACGCACACACACATTGGGTTGGCTTTTATTGGAAAGCCTAGATGCAATCTATAGTTATCAATTTGTGGAAAATTCAGGACACATATAAAGTTAAGAAGGCAAATTAAAAGAACAATACAAATCAGACGAAATATACATCTCAAAATATCAGGATAGCATTTTGACTGGCATTGCCTAAAATACTTTGAATCTCCTTCCTCTTTTTTTTTTTTTCTGCAATATGCTTCTTTTAATTATACATATTTTTTTTTCTTTAAAAAGATCTTTTGTTTACATATTCCCCAAGGTCACTATTTCCTGCAGGAGCATGTCCAGATCACAAGTCTTTTTTAGCAAGAAATAGGCTCATTATACCTACTAACAAGGCCACTAATTGGCTTGATTTGACTTCATCTAAAATGATCACCAACAGATACTGTAATTTGTTGTTTATTGGTGCCAGAACAAAGGAGAAGGAACTGGTACACGTCAAGTAGAAGATATATTTCATTGTTGGCAGGTTATACAAGCTTTTCATATTCAAACAGAACAGAAACATTTGACATAATTTAGAATATGAGCCTATTTCGACAGAGAGCACTTACAGCATGCTAAATACAGTGCTGTGGAAGAGCCACCCAACAGGACTGCAAACACCCAGCATTTCACATGGCCAAACATGATAACGCAGCTCAATGACACGCCGCCGGGGTCCCACTGAGSCCCCGCTCTAAATTTAGGGCCCTCAAGACTTCAAGGGTAAAAATACTAACACCTAATCTGTGCTTTCATTCTAGTAGATGAGTAGCATTCGATATACGCGTGGTTAGTTCTGTATGCTCTACCAAAGACACACCTACAGGAACAGCACTGCTAACTGTRGATTCGGTAGCCGCTTGGCTGGGAGAAGTTCCAATCCGTTTACCAAACAATCCTAATGTGCAATTTGGAGTACGTAATACCATAGAATCTCAGAATACAAAGCAGTTAGAAAACTATTTTTATTACATCCACTTGAACCATTCATAGTTAAGACACGTTCACTTACTATGTTTTTGTCATTATAATACATGGATAGAAATACTGTGTATATTTCAATGAACATCAAAAAACTCCAATTTTGTCTCATCTTAAAAATATGACTTTTTGTGGCTGAATTTAGCGCTCAGGAGAGTAAAGCTCTGAGAACGGCTTCAGCCAAGAAGTAGAGCGGATGCCACAGATGCCGTCGCAGGCTTCCTATGAGGAACCAGCTGCACGCTTCAGTTCTGTCCTGCAACAAAGCAGACACGGGGGGGTCCTGGAGCAGGGCATGCCAAATCTATGGATTCTATGCGGAGATGCACACTGGGCACCAGGGTGACCCTTCCTCTCCCTCCCCACGGTCAGTCTTCGCAGCAGGGGGGTTCCAGGGCTCGGACCCACGGCACAGCCTTGCCTGCCCACAGAGCTGGGCCACGGGGACCCTTCCTCCCTCTGCGGTCGTAACATCTAAGAGAGTTGTATTATACAGAAGACAAAGTTGACAAAACTGGATGAAACTACATCATTTCTTCTTCTTCTTCTACACACAATGCGCCAAGCACCTGAGACACTATTCTCTCCGTTGTGAAACAAAGCTTCTAAAAAAACAACAGAAAACCCCACTTGGTACGAATAAATGTCCATTTATTACATCAGGGCTGGAAAAAGACAAGGAAAACCCAACCTATTAAAGTCTTCCATCATAATAAACGAGACTTATTTGGTTTCTGTGCCTTCTAACAATGACTGATGAAGTGGCACTGGCCTGGGTGACGGGAGAGGGGCGGCAGGGGAGGGAGCTGCGGTCGGATCGTGCCAGCCACTTTGGCATGTTCCATCCTATCAGCAGAGTGATAGATGCACAGCTTCAAACCTAATACAAAAATATTAACACTTTTGGACATTAGTCATCACTGTTATATCTCTACAATATAATCCTTTATACTGTACAGCTATAACGTAAAAGGTGCAATTCCTTTTGTTTTTTTTTTCTTTAAAAAAATCACACACAGCACACGTTTTTATCRTTTTATTTTTTAAGTATAAACTTTTTTAAACACTTTACATAAATTAACTCCTCTGAGACTAATATTTGATGTACAGTAAATTGTAATTCATATAAAAATCCATAAACAACTTGTCTCACATAATTTACAAAAAAATCAGGGTTTCCTTTGCTTATCTATAACAAGGATTCTACTGCCATTCCTCCCCCCAAGGCAAACCATGTTAGCATTGTAAAATCCATTATTAAATTCCCATGGTAGCATAAGTCACTTGTGCCAATGTCCTTTTAGAAAGCAGCACAGTTTAAAGCAGTTGGGTTGTCTATAAACAGTAATTTTTGCCCCATGTTTTAAAATTAACAGATATATATCACATCCTATGCAGAAAGAGAGAGAGAGAGAGAGAGAGAGAGAAAGAGAGAGACTATTTCTGTAAGCAAAGGTCAACAATTCAGTAATATTTGGAAACACTGTATGGGTCTGTATCGTAATTAAATACAGTGCCTCAAAGGAACAGGCAGCCTGTTGAAAAATCTTTAGGCCTTTTTTCTTTTCGTTGGTTTTTTTTTTCTTCTTCTTCCTTTTTCAATACTTCTCAGTCCAACTCGAGTGCAGCGATATGCATATGTAAACATATTCTTTAAAGCAGATCACCTTTAAGGTCACTGAGAAAAACAAAACAAAACAAAAAAGTTTTGTCATTAGCAGTTACCATTCTTCTGGAAGGCGCTCCTTTCCTTACAGAGTCCGTTCGGATTGTGCTACAGAAAAAAATCTGAGCAAAGGTGTAAGCTTAGGCTCAAGTAGTAATGCAGCAAACCAGTTTGGCCTCCTTTTCCGAAGCCACTTGGTACACGGTCTCTTTGGCAGCCTGAGCTAAGCCAGGGTGTTACCTCTTCCCTATCTCGCTTTGTCTGAGGAACTGTATGTTGTTAGCGCTGTCCGCCAATTCCGGATATTGCTCCACAGAGAGTACATAGTACCCATCGTATCCCTGCACCTTGCCGGCACTCAGCAGCTGCCTCTTTTCGCCCTCTGTCCAGAGGCGGGCGCCCTCCTCGCCGTCGCGCACGCGCTGCTGCTCCCGGGCCCAGGCGCTGGCCAGCGCGCGCTGGCGGGCCTGCTCCAGCACGCGGGCCTTCTCCTCGTCCAGCGTCATGCCGTAGCGCACGTGCAGCGCCAGCGCGCCGAACTGCATCTCCACGTCGGCGAACCTGCGAGTCCTGCCGCCCACCACCGTCGTGGACTGCGACACCGTCACGTTGATGCCGTTCTCCAGCGCCTTGCGCCCRCTCGTCAGCCGCAGCGTGCCCAGGTCGCTCTCGGGGGACGTGGTCTTGATGAAGTAGTGCGTGTCCTTGCCCTCGACGGTGAAGTGCAGGTTTTCCAGGTAGTAGGCGTTGTTGAGGACGGCCGCCACTTTTATGCAGTCCTCGTTGGCGATGTTGAGCACGTTGGTCTGCACGCGGCCTTGGTTCACGGCGAGCATCACCCCCTTGCCGATCAGGGACTTGACCGTGGCGAACCACAGCCACGACTTCTCGGCCCCGCATCGCCGCCGGCTCACCTGCACTTCGGCCATCTTTCCCAGGGACAGGAAAGCCTTCGACTGCCTCGCCACTTGTTGCTGCACCCCAGAAATTGGCTGCAAACGAGAACAGACACAAGTTTTAGCAACCATCTGCAGCCCTCTAGGTGCCAAACAGCCAGGCTTTCTTGGTGCGCTGCCCGGGGCCGACAACAGGATGTGCCACAGCCGACAGTGCTGAGGAGTTAATTAAAGCTGCATGCTGCTGGTTCTGCTGCATTACAAGGCTGTATGGCTGGTAATGTTCAGTGGGGTTTCTTTTCTGTCTCCCTGAGAACCTGCATGTGCACAAAATACGTAACTCGAGAAGCTGTTTGGTGGGCTACACAGGCCATGTCTTTGTGATACTGTTACTTAATATGGGAAAGAACTATCACACTGCAGTTCTGTTTCATCCTTCGAATCTGTCTGACTGTGATTTCTGCTTTTCAGATGGAGTAATGGGATCTCTTAGGAAAGCAGAGATTAGAGTACCAGGGAATCTGGCCTCAGTGCTCTCTGCTGGCTGTTCAACACCCTCCTTAGCATTGGTGGAGGGTATTGGACGAGCACTGCAAAACCCTGATCCTTTTTTTTTTGTTTGTTTAGTTGCTTTTCAAATTAGAGACAGTAATAATGGTTGTTTATGCTGTTATTTATATTGTTTTCATCCCATACAGACCTGACCCAGCCCCTTCCTGCAGCTCAGCTAGATGTGGAAGGGTAAAAGCATTACTTGGACTTACTACTCTGACTTATTACATTACCTCACATTGCATGTGGGCTTACAGCAGTGTTGGAGTGATGCCTGCGGTCCGCAGTAACTGTCTATCACGGCACCATCTAAACTGAGTGTTTTGCAGGTCATAAAGCTCCACTTCAAAATAAGTCCATGTCTCTTGGGTAGCTGCAGTCACAGCTGAACTGCAGGGAGTCTCTAGGTAAGGGCAGTAAAGGAAGGGGAGGAATCGAACCATGATGACAGTCTTTACAGTAAAAGAGAAAGCAGCAAAGAGTACAGGGCAGAAAGGTGGAATATTGGGAAATGATGCCCTTTCTTCCAAATAATTGCAGAAATTGATAAAAAGGGATCTGTGACAAAACTACAGCCAATTCAGTCAGGTGATCTTGCTCTAGTGGGGGCCGTCCGAGTATCTGCGCAGCGGCTGAGGCCTAAAGGAGCCCAGCAGCTTCTGTCTGGAGAGCTGCTGCAAGGGGAGGCAGCCACAGTTCCAATGGGTCAGGTCCGTGGAACTGGACTCTGCCTGAACGCACGGAGAGGTGCCCAAGTTCCTAACTGAGCAAGCCAGGGTAGGAGAATGTGTAGGACGCCTCCCGGAGCCCGCAGCACCATGTGTGCACGTGTGTGCTCCGCGAGGACAGGCCAGAGGCACAGGAGGGGCCGGGAGAGCGGCTCGGCGCCTGCGGCACCCACCGCAGCTCCCGTGGGACCTCGTGCAGGCGGCAGCTCCTGCGGGACAAACCTCGGCCCACGCGTGGAGGCAGCCCGGGCCGGCGCAGMGGGCAGCTGTCCTGGCCATGGTCTCAGCTGGACACGGGGAGGAAGGTTTTTAAATAGCACTGGCTGCCTTTTTGAAAAGCAGTTATTATAGATTACCAAGTTTATCTTCCAGTTGACCCGCTCCCCTTTCAGTAAAATACTGTTTAACTCATTTGATAAATGAGGCCACAGTCTGCTCCATCTTCCCAAATTTCTGGGTAGGAAACCAAGCAGGAATCATTAACCACCTCCTACAGTCCTTGCTGCCAATCGGAGAGGACAGCTCCCGCGGGAATGACACACTGGCTGGGGCTCTCCCCTCCTCTCAAATATTGGGCATTCCTCTCTATCCATACTTGCTAATAAGCATGGATTTCGGCTGCTCCAACTCCTACATGAGCACTGCAGAGCACGAAACAYGCTCCAGATGGGACACTCCTCGTTAAGAGCAGCAAGATGTTAGAGCACCTTTGTAATGAGAGAGCCTGTTTAGTTTTAACACGCACCCTCGGGGCTCCCAAGCAAAACCGGGCAGGTCGGCAAAGCTCAGAAAGTTTCAAAATGCTGAGTGGTTTGTGTGTTCACTCCTGGCTGCYCGTTGTAATTGCTTGTGCAGCAGTGAGTATCAAACCTGCAGCTTCTTCCAACCTGGGAGTTTCTAATAGATTTTTTTCCTCTCTCTCTGTTACGTCTCATACCCTGGCATTCCTTGCTGTTGTTGAGCTCTTCACTTGAAGGAAATTTTTTCACCACAACCCATCTGTTCTTATCTCTCTGACTAGACCTTGCCGGCACGCTACTTTTTGTTGCTTTACTGAATAATTGTTTTGTGTARCCCTTTGAGCTCTAAATGAACATCCACAGAGAGTTCTTTGCAACTAAGCCTGGGGCCAGGCTTTATCCCCCGTGGGTGTCACCCTGCCTAGACGCTTCCAGGTTCCTCACTGCCTCTGCTGCTCATGAAAGGCACTGCTCATGCAGTGCTCCGAGGTTACTGTTACCCTGTTACTCAAATCATGACATATCTATATATGTATGCATATATGGGGTCACTCCATGTGTGCAGAGCTCCTTTCTGWGTGCTCCCTCTGTTCCACTCTTTCAATGATTTTTGCCTAAATTAGGTTGTAAGGTTCAAGWTCACATCCCCTTTCTTTGGGAACAAGACGTGTTTTTGATTCACGATTCGATTACCCATTTAACTGTCTCAGTATTTCTTTACTGAGGATTCTGGGATTTTAAAGGGCAAAGACCTCTGAATAACCTGCATTTGTAAACATCATACTCTTAAATAGTAGATTTGGATCTTAAACTTCACATTTATTCCTTCTATCATTTAAAAACTGTAGCAGGGTTTCTAGCTTTCACTTATTTTTTTTTTCTCCATAGGAAAGAACTTCATAAGCACCTGGAGTTCTGGTTTTATGTAACATAATGGGTTTTACCTCAGGTAATTTCAATTTCAATATTTTATCTTTACATATAAAGCATGGTTAATATTAAAGACAGTAAAACTGTGGTGGTGCCCGGTATGCATAATTTATATCACCTGTTCTTCTGTTTTTTTTCACAGTCTATTTTTTACCACAGTGTTCACTTTCTGCTTTCCGGCAGAGGTTAGTATACATTCAATCCCTGCAGTTTCTGCCAGGAAACTTCAACATCTTAAAAGAGTCTTAAAGTTCTCTCCTTTGATTACTCTCTTTCTGCGTTTGTCCTACTGCTGAAAGCAAACAAAAGATTATTTAAAATTTCATCTAACTTAGTGCTAATTCATGAGGAAGGCACCATCCGTAATTTCCTGAATTCCTTAGAAAACAGATAGAATTTGGAGGTATGGAAAGCACTGTTCAGATGAAAGTTAGCAGTAACACTCAGAACTATCTTGCCTAGTAAGTTCTCAGTATAGAGGAATAATGTGTTTGGGTTGTGTGTTTAGTTTTGTTTCTTACTGGTATATCCTCCCATTGCTGGCTCTTCACAAGTTCATAAGAAGGTTCTGTTAAGTCAAATTTGGGAACAGGAAATCCAGGAATGGCGTTGTGCAGGTGGAAGCCAAATGTCACCAACCAGCTGTTAACATCTGAAAGAAAATTACACAAGAAGAAAAACATTAGACGTGTTTCCTATTTTGCAACTAATGGTTACCCGTTTTACATGACATAACTTTTGGCATAGTTGATTTTCTCCTGTTTCATCAAAATCATTCCCCACTCTTCCTTTTGATCTGTATGGCTTTGGGTTTGTGTGACTGCTAGGGCATCTGCTGATGTTGAGAAGAGAGTCCACCCCTGTGCTGCTGAAGAGCTGCACTGCAACCTTGTGAAAGGCACCGAGGGTCTCAGCAAGTTYAGAGGCCTCAGTGGCTTCTAGAACAAATCCAGCAGCACAATCAAAATGGGATGTCTTTCTAAGAAAGCCTGATCCAATTAGGATTTCGTGGTCAGGGGGAACTCTCTGTCCACACGTCATCATCAATACCTTGAAACAAGGAGAACAAGTGCTGCAGAGCACATCCTGTCCTTATATTTGTGTTACTCTAAACTACACCTGAAATAATACCTATACACTCARTTACCTTTTATAGGGTTTGGCAGATGTTTTTTAGTGATCCAAGAGAATACTCCCCCTCTTCATGATGAAGCTGGACTGATGAAAGTAAAAGCTAATAAATATATATTACAATGGCATCAGTAAGTAGATAGATGTAATACTATATTAGTGTTAAATAGCATTATTTATGATAAGCCAAGAATGTTGGCTAAGTAAAAATGGTTGGGGCAACAGAAGTGCTCATCCTTACTAATTTCTGTCTGTCTGGGCTATTTGTCACATACTTAGCAGAAGTTATGTTAGCTCAGCAGAAATTGGCAGGGTACTTTCTATTAAGTCCAGTAATTTCCATTTAAGAAGACCAGAAATATCTCGAAGAAGGAATAGATCTTTCCAAATCTTAAAAGAATAAAAAGTATTTATTTTAAAATATTTTCTAACCTTTCTAGAAAAATGACAAGCCTCATTAAATTCTAGATCTAAAACTGCCTTCCAGCCTAATTAGTCATTGTAGAGCTAAGCTTATGTAAGTAGCCTGGGTCTACATATTCTGTGTATCAAGGATTTTAATAGAAGAACTAAAACTGTATTTTAAGGGCAGTTTTTGAACTGGCTACCTCACCTTCACTGTCACAAAGATTCCGACTGCAACTGCATCCCCTATAGCACATGCTGCTAAGAGAGGGCCTGTTCAAGGGTCTGCTGTCAGCCTTACTTGCAGGAGCCTGCCAGCAACCCTGTGGAAAGGTGCTGTGTGTTAAATGCAAATCTAAGTTCATTGGCTTCCCAATATGCTTCTCCGAGGGACAGTCTCACAGCTCATTTCTAAGAGCAGCTCAGCCCCTCCTGTAGTTTGGCACTGTCTATGTAAAATAGKTCAGATTATTTGCACCTATTCGGTTATGGGAATTCAAGTTTATTCAGCCAGGCACTTTTCAGGAATGTCTGCTGATGTGCAGTCAGTTTTTTCTTTTTTTTAATTTAGATAATTGTGTATTACATTAATCAGTGTGTCTTACTCAATCTAGATCAACAAAAGCATATAGGTTGCCTAATATTAACTCAGTTGTATACAAAGTGGCATCTTGGTAGCATTCTATTGCCAAAAGTTGTTCTTACTCATTTTCCTACATTCTGTTCCCATTCCCTGCTCCCAGCTTTCTACTCCTTTCTCTCAGCCAATTTACCTTAACAGCCTTGCAAGAACTTGGCAAGTACCAACCAATTTGTAGTGGCTACCTAAGTCGATGTCTAAAGCTACATGTGATTTTGATATACCCTTTATTTTCAAGATCTCCCTTTCACTATTTTACCATTTCTATCATCACTTTTACAATGGTTAATCTGACTGGGATGTGCCTAATGCTTCCTCATAAGGAATTTTCCCAAATATGACATATTAAGATAACTCTCCAAAACTGTGAATTCCAATCTAAATTGGAAATATGGTTTCCAACATCCTCAGGCTAGCTCCCATCTGGATCAATTTTGTTGAACTGATCCAAAATGCCAAGTTCTTTCCTGAAGAATTACCTTCCCTTTCTCTACTAACCTTCCCCAGACAATATCCTTAGCCCACATGATCAGATTCCAGATTTTGAGATTACAGAAAGACAGGTTCTTGAGCAAGTGGGAGGCAGTCTGGCAATAGTGTTCATTTACCTGTGATATAATCCTTCACATCATGTATCTTGCTGGCCGGGTTGTTGTTTCTGAACATGTACAAATTAAAAGGAGCTGGGTCTTTCCCAATTCTTTTCCAGATCTCGATATCAGGTGTGGTCCATCGGCCTGCCATTATGTCATAATCTCTCTCTCCAAAGTGGACTAGCTTGGTCAGGGGGTCATACAAGCCCCCATGGAAGCCTATTACCAGCTGAAAGTCAAGGTTAGAGTCAAAGTAGATCTCTCCATAAGCAGTGTATTGAATTTGCTTAAGCATGAGACCGTTGCTACTAAAAACAGCCAATGGTGTCCCTGTATTGTCTGACGCAATGTAGAACTCATCACCACTGCTAATTTCCATGGCAAAAAGATGTCCTTGCAGGTCATAATAGAGAGACGTGATTTCAGAACTGGAGTGGTTGTATACGTGCGTTATCCTGGTCGGATAAGTAAGGTCTGCATAGAAGAACTGGAGATGCTGTCCAAGGCTAGTCTTAGTGGAAACTCGCCGTCCGAGTCCRTCATACCGGTAAATGACCGTCCACCCGCTGCCTTTGCTGTACACTCTYGTAAGGAGGCCCTTGGAGCTGTACTCAAAGATCTCGGTGCCCCTCTGTCGCAGGAATCCATCCTCATCTAAGCGGTACTGAACGTCACCGAGTCGAGTTATTCTGTCTCTCAGGTCATAGCGAAGCGGCGTCAAGCGGGCACTGTTGCTGGGGTTGAGCAAATGGAGGTTGCCATTCAAGTCATAGTTGTATCGCCACATGATTTTTTCATTTAGATAGACTGTCTGGAGCTGACCATCTACATCATATTCATAGGCGTATTTTGTGGTGTTGGCAAACGGTCCAATCTTGATTTCTCTTTTTGTCACTCGTCCCATGTTATCGTACTGAATTGTAATCCAATACATTAACGACCTAAATATTTCATACTGAATTTCCTTGATGCGGCCATGGGCATCAAAGTGTTTTGTGTAAGTCATTACAGCCGTAGAAATGATCTGGTTGATATCATAATATATGACGCCGAATTTTCCAAACTGCTCCACTTTACCAGAGATATCATCGAACTGGTACAGATCTATGGGCAGGGGCGTTTCGTTGATGACGCCCTGCATGCTGGTCACTCGGAAGCTGTTGTCGTAGCTGTAGTCAAACCGGGCATTGACCATTCCGTCCTCGCTGAAGCGGAATATCTGCCTGTCGATCAGCGGGCCGATCTGCCTGTACCTAATGGTGCAGATGAAACCATCACTTTGGAGGTTCACCGTTTTCAGGACGCCGGCCGTCTCGTCGTAAGTGAAGCTGACTCTCGTGCTGTCGTACAGGATTTCGGAGAGCTTGGTCTGCCGCCTGTACTTGAACAGCACTCTCCGGCTCGTGCCCAGGAACGCCGTTTGAAGGAGCTGTCCTTCTTCGTTGTAGTCCATTATGACCGAGGCGTTGCTCTCSGGGGGGTTGTAGATATTCCGGTAGTAGCCGATGGAGCGGATGGTCTGCATGGTGTGCCGGGCCACGCTCGGCATGGTGACGGCCGAGAGCCGGTCCAACAGATCGTATTCAAAGATGTACTGCCGCTGGCTATGAAGCAGAAGAACCATTGACTGGAAATTAAGAACAGGCTTTTACCATGTGACAAATGGTGGAGCGTCACCCGCCACCCCCGGCACGCACACACACACTGACACTATTTCTTGACAAAGATGTGACATTCCCACTTGAGAAAATTATCTCCTCTTTAATTGAGTTATCCTTGACCTTGCATGTTGTTAACATATCCCTGCCTAATTTACTTGGATGCTTAATTGTAAGGGGTTCTGTAATTAGTGGTTCCACATTCATAATTTGCTACTTGTTATGACTGTATCACTCTTTTATCAAGCACTCACAGCTAAACAGCAGATTGTCAATGGATTCAGATAAGTCATGTTTAATGTGGGAAGCGGCAAAACTGTCTTAGAGCCATTAACTCCCAAGGAGAACAACATATGGGAGAGACAATTTCTCCCCTACAATTAGAGATAATTTTGAACAATTTGAATAGCCTGAGATCCCTGAATACTGCATTCTTGTTCTGTAAGTGTTTTAGACAAGGGCAAAACAATTGTTTGATTATTTACATCAAAAGGAGCTACTTGGAGTCATTCTGGCATTTTTTCTGATGTGTGGCTACTATGAATCATAGCTCTTGATTAAATTATGTCAGCAATGGCTAGGAAGTAATACTTGCTGAACAACAAATTCAATAGGAATATATTTAAACCACAGAAAGAAATGGATTCTGTTTTGCYGCAGTAGGCATGAGATCTCACAAAGGAGATTTTCACAGATATTTCAGAAAGGACAGCTATCATTCTGCAGTCGTTATATATAAAAATTTCAGATCTTGTGCCTACCATTTAATTGTGCGATTTAATTGTAGGCTGCAACACACAGCAAGCAAAAATTGACAGCTGTAAGTATTTAGAAATGAGAATTTTCCTCTGTAGCCAAAAAAGAAAAAAAAAAAAGGAGCAAAGTACAAAATCATGGGTGCAAATGCATAATTTTCAGCTGAATTGCAGTGTAGAGATCTATCTCCTGTACCTTCTTTTAGGGGTGATGATGAAAGGCAAGAAAGGATGCTTCTAGCTTGTGGCCTAAATAATTTAGAAGGACCTTAGTGTCTAGAAATTAGCAAAGGCTTGGTTGTGTACCTTTTGCACAAAACATTCTCACACGAATCATCTTGTTGCTCAGCACAAATGAAAGGTGCTGGTATTGTTCCTATACTGGGGTGCCCAGAACTGAACACAGTACTCCAGGTGCGGCCTCACCAGAGCTGAGTAGAGGGGCAGAATCACCTCTCTTGACCTGCTGGCAACACTCCTCCTGATGCAGGCCAGGATCCCAYTGTTTCTCGTTTTGTGCTCAGCAGTTGGACGCCACACAGTTTGAACAGAGCCTGAGTTAAGGAATCGGCGTTTGCCCTTTACCTTTTCCAAATACGTGTAGCTCCACGTCTTGCCGTCGGCGAACACGCGCGACACGATCCTCCCCTGCCCGTCGTACTCGATTTTCTCGCTCGTGGTGCCGCGCTGGATGCTGCCGATGTGCCCGCTGGACGAGTAGGTGACGTTGACAGCCATGAGCTTGCTGCTGGGCAGCCACAGCGTCGGGTGCCCCGACGTGTCGTAGGCGATCCGCAGCAGAAACTTGCGGTGGTCGTCGTAGATCTTCTCCGTCTTCGTGGTTCGGTCGAAGTCAACTGAAAGGAGGTTTCTGCCGTTAACCTTTGAAAGCAAACAGATGACACAGTAAAGCGTGCGATTTTAAACACTAGCCACCTATTACTTCCACCAAGTGCCAGCGAGTCTTTAAATATCGTTTACAGTGATTCATTGGYGCTGCGCGTAAATTAATTTAGCAACTTCTTGATGTAAATGTGAGGCACTATATTAGCAGCGATTTTAAAAGGTTTCATTACGTGAAGAGATGGCCCAGAGTTTGTGGCAATTTGTGCCCTTTCTTGATGCTTAGCGTAAAGTTAAGAAGATGCTGAAAGATACACACCGAAAACTTCTGTTATAAATGGTGCTATTTCAGAGGACAAGCTATTTCATTTGCAGGCAGCATGAAATACATATAYATATATATATAAAATTCTTGTTAAAGCATATTCCCAGAAAAAGTTCATCTGATTTAGAGCAGTCACCCTAAGAAAGAACTGCATCCCAGTCCTCCACAGCAAGCTTTTTTTAAAACAGTAAATATGAAGTTAAGGTTTTCAAAAGCATGTTTAATACTCCTTTTCGGATTGAAAAGTTTCTAGAGTAAAGTTTCCCCCTTTTGGATCAGATGAAAATTTGATTCTGGATTAGATCCACAGCAGTAATGTATTTCAGATGCTGAAATCTTTTAGGGATGATTATGTCTTTCTCCTAGCTCCCTGGCCAACTAAAGCAATTAGCAACTGGAAGACTATTGACCTTCTGAAAACAGTTAAAAATGCTTCTGAACAGCCTGTCTGCTTTACTTTTTCCTTACTAGCAATTCTCTATCCCTCCCGTACTGTTTAATACAGAAGCCTCTCTATATCCTTTGCTCATCTGCAAAAGCCTCCTGCCACTGCTGTGTCCAGTTATTCCAGATAAAGATGAAACACAGATAACCGAGGGTTTTTTCCAATGCTATATCTTGCTGACATATGGGAAGCTGAGGACAAATGAACACRTAGCTGTGTTTACTAAGGATTAAAAAAAATCTAAGTACTGACAAGCAATAGAAGAGAAGCATACATTACAAAGATGTGCAGAGAGATGGCTAAATAGTAGTTAGAAAAAAAACAGATATGCTGATCAAAACGAGGATTTTAACACTTTCCAGGGGTGCATGTTCAAAATCTGCGTGGTATGGACTTTAGTGCGTTTACTTTGAGGCCAATGAGCTGCTAAAAGATCAATACAAATTAGATTCTTTGCTATTGGTATAAAGGGTATTAAAGTGCTAGTGATGGGTCATAGGGAAATCTGAAAAAAATAACCTCCAGATGCTCCTTTGTGTTTAAATGTGGGTGTACACACAAATACATGTACCAAATAAATAGTATTTTTTAATAATTGATATTTTAGTATATTCCTTAGTTATCTCTTTTTTTCTTGACTTCCTTTTTTTTAAATGCGATCACTAGTATGAAAACAAGCTGTATTATCCATTTCAGAACAAAAATCACGCTTTCATGAAAATATTTAAGTGAGGAACACAGTCTAGCAGATGCAGAATAGTTATTTTGCATATTCAGTGTGCCATCAAATGTTTTTTAAATATACTTTGAAAATTTAATGCTACAAGGCTGATTCCAATAGTAGCTTAAACTTAAAAACAGAGCATTCCCATTCCCTTCCCTTTCTTCTGCTTTGAGGACTTATAACATTTTCTTTTCTTTTTTTTTTAAACTTTTACAACATTTACAGTTGTATCATTTGCCTAAGTTCCCTCTTCTGTATTCAGCCATCCTTATCTCACGCTTCCATTTCTCAGCCTCTCCTCCACACGCCTGAACCCATCTCTGTCTCTCCCTGCTTTGTTTCTCTGAACTCCTTCGTTTSTCCCTACCCTCCCTGATCTTACATCTAATTAACGCTTTCTATTAATTGTACTGCCTGCCTTGCAGGCTCAGAACCTGGTTTCTGAATGGGCAAGGAGAGAAGCGTGTCCTCACGGTCGAGGCAGACGGCCACGCGCGTGCGGCTCATTTCTTGTCCAAGCGCATTCCCCCAGGGAAAACTGCTGCAAATTCCCTCATCATTCTCCCTCGCTCGCTGCCTTTCCCGCTAAACAGGATAACAATGGCCCTTACCTTCTCACCACCCTGGGTAAGCAGCAGAACATAGGGAAGACAATTGCTTCTTTCCGCAGCCGGATTAAGGCTCCCAAGATCTGCTGGTGGAGCCTCATCACCAGGTGCTTGGGCTTTTGCTGAGATGGGCTCCGCTTACATAACCTCGTAATACAGGTGACAGTTAAAGTTACAAAAAAAAAAACCCTAAATGTGTTGGTGATTCACTGGACACCAGTATGGGCCTGGGCTGTCACACRCTGCTGTCAATTGAAGAGCGCTCTACTTAACAGCAGGTTTCCTACACCAAAATGCTGCTACAGCAAAACTTAAACGTGTCTTGTTACTGTGCTGGAGACCATCATACTCCAAATATATTTGATAACTCTGGGCTTTACTCTGGCAAAAACAGTAATTCAGGAAACTTTCAGTGAATAAACACTTCATGAGACAAGCCCGTGACAGCCCCTCAATACCATCTTGCCACAGTTTAGTAATTAAAGTGCCCATCTGTCTTGCTCTGCTTTAACTCCCGTTTTTCCTCACGGCAGCTCGCTGAGAAGCATGGAACCACGTGGTGACATTACATGGAAACACGCAGTGACACTGAACCTGGAAACACGTGGTGACACTGTCTGGAACGACACCCCACGAGGAGTTGGGCGGCCCTGCTACGTCCTGGCCAGATTCCAGAGGGATGGAGGAGCCAGGGCCTCCTGGCCCTCGGCGCAGGCCTGCGGCCCTTGCAGTGGAGCTCTCAGCAGTGCCTCGGTGCAAGAGCTGCGCGACGAAGCGTCTGCCCGGCCTCCCCCAAGTGCCCCCACAGCCTCTGTCGCGTCCCCCAAGCGCCCCCACAGCCTCTGTAATGTCCCCAAGCGCCCCCACAGCCTCTGTCAGGTCGGGGCTGTGGGCAGCGCTGCCACAGAGCGGCTGCCGGCAGGAACGAGGGGCGCCGGAGCCAACGCAGCGTGCCCGACTAATTCCAAACACAGGCCAACAAAGCAGGAGTGGGACACCGCAAGGCTGAGTGAATATCGTGTTTGATACAGGCTGTATCTTAGTTACTTCTGTTTTTGTCGGCTTGCTCTTTTTTCCCCTATATGAAATGGTGAAACTAGTGGTCGTTCACATTTTAAAAAGACAATTAGGTGTGGGTAGAACTAATACACAATAAAAATCCAAGGAATCACCATGGAACATGTTTTGTGGTGTCACATAAAATGCATATAATGCAGTAACTGTGTCTTGTATATACGTACATCTACTGGCAATATCTTTTGTCACTGATTTTGTCTACAGTTGTCTTCTCTGCAGCACATTGCTATTGACAAATCTGTTGGTGGAATGATGAGCAAGAATAATTTATTCTTGTTTTTKCAGTTGCGTTCTTCTCGCTACTTTCCTTCACCAGCAACTGGGTTCCTACATAACCCAGTTTCWAGAAAAACCTTCCACTTTTTTCCTCTGATGCCAAGTTTCTTTTCTTTTTGAAGCAGTTTTCTCTTACTAGCCAGTATTCTCTTCCTGCCCTACTTCTCCCATATGTATTATACTTTTTATTACTTCTATTTTATCTTCATCTATAATCTTTCACTTTTCCCTCTTGTTAAATTTCTCTGCTGTTCCTTCTTTCTTCTCAACTCTTTCAAGTTAGAGTTGTGCATGATGCTTCTCCTACCTCCTCTGTACTTGAATGTCAAAGTTTTGCTTCAATTATGAGAACCTGACTCCCAGAGATCTGTTTTGCTGCCAAAACCAACACATCATTGGTAGGGTTAATTTGCTTTTTCTTGAGCTTCYTTCATGCATGAACTGGCTATTATCCCACTTTGCTAGGCTAGATATATTATCCCACTTTGCTAAGTAATGAAATGGCTATGAACTAGAACCAAAAAGACAAGCATGTAAGCATGGCTTCTCTATTTCTTGGCCCTATCCACATAAAAGCGTTGCCAAAGCTACATAAAAGTTTGCTGTTCTTAGGCAGCAGCCATTGCACATAATAATTCTTCCTTCTTGGAAAAAAAAAAMCCCAGTTCTTGTAGAAYAAGTATACAAGAGTTATATAAGATGCATGACAGCCTTCCCTCCCTTCACGTCCCAGAGAAAGAGTTCAAATGGCAAGTCACCCCTTACAAGCGGAGAGGAGCCATGTGAAATTACTTACCTTTATTTCATATACCACCTAGACCTTATTTTAAAGAAATGGGTTCATTTCTAATAGCAAGTCAGCCCCCTGCTGTGGTCTTGAAATGGTCTCCTGGCAACCCAATTCTAAATGCTTAATCTCTGTTGTCTTTACCAAATGGCTGTCATAAATCATAGTTTGCTTGCTACTTGCATTTCGCCCACTCTATAGGAATAAGAAATGCCAACAAAATGGTAAAGACATATGTTAGAGGAATATGCTGCAAGCATGTACACATGCATGCAAAGTTAAACCCTTTCTACTAGAAATAAGTTATGCTACAACTTTTAGTGCAAATAAAAAGAAAATASTAAGCCTGTTCTAATTTATGGAAGAATATTTTTTTAAAAGTTCTAAATGTTATCTTCAAATGTGTGAATTCAGTATTAATACAAAAAAAATGACAGAAAGCAAAAAATCAGTCTCTTTATACTGATTCATTATAAGGCATTCCAGGCTAAAAACAACAGTTTCGAGACCACAGAAAAGAGCAACAAATCAGGTAAAGCAGCCCATAAATGAAACAAGAGAAGCAACGCTTCCAATTCCACCGTAAGCTTCTCTATGGTAAATAACTGTGTGGTTGCTGAATGGCAATACCATGGGATGTCTCTATGTCCGCCCGCTCGCTTGGAACACATCGGTTTTCCRGGCGGCGCGCACGCTTACCCGGAGCTTGCGGCCAAACACGTTGACCTTTCCCTGGGCTTGCTCCTTCCGGAACCTCCACTCCACCACGTTCTGGCCGTTCTCGCCGGGCAGGGTCATGTTGCGCTTTGCTACCGTGGGGTTGGCCGTGCCCGCCAGCACGTGCGGCTCCGTCTGGTAGTGGGAATCCAGCCCGCTGGCGTACAGGATGCGCAGGGAGCCATCATAGCCGATCTGGTAGCTGTTCCTCAACTGATCTGAAAATGTTCCTCAACTGATCTGAAAAAAAAAAAAAAAAAAAAAAAAAAAAAAAAACCCTCAAAAAAGGAATGCACAAAATGCACTTTACCTACAAAGGTAAAATTATCTCTCTTTCCTACATTTCTTAGGCTCTACATGCATGTAACCATCCTGACTTGACTTGATGGCTCAACACCCAGGGTGCGATTGATAAAGAATATCTATATTACATGAGGGCACAAATGCCTTCAGGACCCAGTTTCAAAGTCACTTAAACACTTAAGAAAATCCCACCCTTGGTATATAAATCTTTGGATGGACATAAAATGCATTCTTTGTTGCTGCACTGGGCATTTCTGGCCTAATCCTAAACATGCTGTGACTACTGACTATTGCTAGGATATGGTTGCTGGGGCTTAACATGCTGTTTTGAAGCTCAGCGCTCACTTCACACCATTTCTACACTTCTTTCAATCCCTCTCCATTTTTTTTTCAGTTTCCTTTTTTTATGTGAAGCAGGTATTCTGAGCAATTCCAAAAGTAACTCGCAAGAGCTTTTTGGGTAGAAAACATAGTTATTTTATTTTCATTACATCTCCTTCTTTCTCTGATTCGTCTTATACATGCCTAAAAATATATATATGTATTTCTCCCCTGTAAACTCTGTACCTCTAAAGTGGCTCTCTAAGGATCTGACTGCTGCTTGTTATATTGTAAGAAAGCAGTTCTCAGTTTTAGTATCTGCTGAGGAATCTTTTGTTTACGGTACCTTGAACCATGGTATAGAAAGAATCAATTGATGATAAATTGGAAGTGATGCTGACATCTTCCTCTCTGCTGGATGATTCAATGTCCACTGTAATGGCCCTTTCCATTTCCCCATGAAGGTTAGTGACAACTCCAGTTGGGAATGTAACGTTTGTTAGGCGGCCCTCGCTATCGTAGCTATGAAAGGAAAAAAATATAATAAAAAAAATCCAAAAATGATACATAGCAGGAACAAATTGCTTTCATTTACCAGCAAAATTAACAAAAATATCAGCTACTCATATTGTTAGGGCACGTTTGCTTTTTGTGCACAGGATAGGCACAGCAAAGACTTCAAACGTGCTTTGAAGTAGTCAAAAGACTGTTTAACATACAGGAGCCTCAATGGTGATAGCAAGAGCAAACAGATGGATCTTCAGCTCTGCATATTATTCTTTGAAGTGTGACCAAGATCCTGCTGCACATCTAATTTGCCGTTTCAAAGGGAACATATTTGTTGGTGCTAAATTCCATAGCGTTCTGTGCTCGCTCCCTATTATCGGACTAGATTTTGCCGTTATTGTAGGGATCCYCAGCGTTTTTCATAGGCAGGATATCTTAACAGCCTGTCTCTTGGGCCCTGGCTGCTCCATGATTATGCAGACCACCTGCCCTCCTGCTCCGAGTGCTGAACACCCCGTGGGATTACAAGAAAGAGGAATCTGGGGTAATACTGAATGCACTCAAGCTGCCTGCACCTGCCAGTCGCACAACCAGCCTGCTGCTTGTGGACCACAGCGGGACAACTGTGGTGCAAACCATGCTGCAGTTGGGTTTTTCTACTGGCTCCACTGATACTTCTTTAAAACAAAACCTATGTATTCATTTGCTAGATACACATAGTTTCTGTAATGCAAATAAACTCAGGACTTGTAAAGCGTTTCTTTTCCCATCCCCATTACATCTACTCCAGCTGTTAACACCRCTGATGTGCTGTGAACAGTTCTGCACATGTGAAAGGAAGGTGACAAGGGAAGCTATCCCATCCCAAGTGCACACTGCCATACTGGGACTTTCTGAGAGCCAGGTGAAGTACCCAATGAAAGAGAGGATTCTCACACCATATATTTCAAATGCAGGTTCAAGACCATGTGCATATTCAAACATTAGCTTGGCTTCAGGTCATGAACTGTCTAAAAACCTCTTTTAAAGTTAGCTCTTTCAGTGCTGCAACCGGAATTCATCAGGTTAGGCATTCAACTAGGGCACCTAAGTTAGGAATATAGTCTCCCTCTAACTACAGGGCAGAGAAAAAAGGTATTTAAAAGGGGTATTTAGCCAATATAAAGCCTCCTTGCTCGTAGATTTTCATGCCTATACCTTGACTGTGCAGTATGATGCTGAAGGAAGCTTTAGTCTCCTAAGTAACTGTTAATGTTAGTTACCCTGCAGATCCACAAAGTGTGCTGGACACTTCATACTTAACAGTTATCATCAAAATTGCTCTTTCAGAAAGACAGAGAGAAAAAACATATACGATGGAGGTTACAGAAACTTTTTTTTGAATTGGGAGAATTAATTCCAAACAGCTTTAACCCATGATACACTGACTTTCTCTGAGTCCAGGAGTCTTTCCTCTGAGTCTCAATCTCCGGGACTGCTGCAACTGTAAAGATCAGGTTAAGAACTGKTTTTTTTTATTACTATTTTTCCCCAGTTTGCTTACTCTGTAGATTTGACAGCTTTTTGCATATAGCCATTTTCATCCTTTTACCACACTCACTTACCTCTGTTTACACGAGACTCTCACTTAGCAACGGGAAAAAGAAAAGCATGCTCAAAAGCACGAACCCATGCTGCAGGCTGGCAAAAGCAAGCAGGGAGACTCAGCCCTGGAAGCTAAGTACGTTTGTGGATAATAGGGTTTCTTCCAGGGAGTTTCTGACCCTGGTTTTGGCTCTTTTTCACGTGTTGGCCATGGCTAGCTAAGACCTTACACTTAAACAAKAAGCTGAAAGAGCCATACCCTTGTGCCTCAATTCGGCTGCTATCCTGTGACAAATAAGAACTTATGTCTTATTCTTCAGCTCCATAAGCTCATTTTCTTTTCATGCACAGCTTCCTTTCCCACTCCCGGGGAACATATAGTCTCCAATTAGCATCTCTGTCTACGTTCCACTTCATAGCATCATGTTTGGAGACGGTGTTTGCTCAGATTATCTTGTTGGGGATTATTTACTCACCCAGTTTGATTCCAGTAAGCCAAGCGCCACTTTCGCTTCAATCAATGCTTACTGAAGACATGGAAAGTGAGACTTCTCCACCAGACCTTTTCACCCTCTGAATTATGGTATTTACAAGAAATTTATTATCAGATTTCTGAGTGCAGTGTTTAAGCTCTGAACGCTGCTCTCCTTGCTTTATGCACAGGGTTATGAACCCTTACCGCCCCGGTTGATAAAGCACGTCAGGAGCCTGAGATAAGGAGTTAATATTACTAATATTACTACATTAGGGAGGAGCTTGAAGAGCAACAAAAATTCACTATAAAAATTTGCTATGTATTCACGTTCCTAAAAGCAAGTCTTTATAGCTAAAAGATTCTCACAAGCCACGAGAGCTTGGCTCAGGCTTCCTCGTGCAGGGAGAAAACATGAATGAGATGGGGAAGTTAAAAAGAGGATTTCTCATACTTTTATATCCAAGAATAAGAAGAAAGGAGGGAAATAGTATTTTTCTGCAATTCACTGCATATTCCATTTTATGAGAAAGTCTAACGTGCATGCCCTTCATTTTGTTCCCAGCACATCAAATACCAAACTTACTTCATACTTGATATCTTTCTGCCCACAATGAAAGCCTTATCAATGCTAAACATAGCAACATCACTCATACCTTTGGGCATTGCTAGGCCATTTTTCTTATTACAGCCAAATATCCTTGCACGCTGCTGCCAAGGTGAATTTATTCATTTGAGATTGTCAGTTTTAGACCGAGGGATCTCCTTTATCTGCCTGCCGCTCTAATATTGAAATGGCCCCAAAGGGACCGCGCTCTCCCGTCTGGAGGGCACGCACCTCCGTTTGGARTTTCGCAGCCCCTTTGATCTCTTCATCCCAACACACACGGCACTGCGGAGCCCTCCGATCTCTCACGGGATCCCTCCCGTCCCCGGGAGCAGGCCACGCACCAGCTTTTCCAGAATGTGCTTCCTGGCTGCTTCCCGGTGTCCATGAAATCCCCTGAACCCYATCCTACCCACACTTGCACAACCGTCTCCCCCTTTGGCCGCTAGCTGCAGAAGGCAGCGGCAGGGCAAGGGCAGATGTGACTGCCCCGTGCTGAATTCCCCCGTTTGATCCCATTCTTTCTTTCCCTTGGGGAGCTCGGCCACTGCCCGCTGGCTTCCCCCTTGTACAGGGAGGGATGCTCGGAGCTAATGATGAGCAGCTGCCCAGACCTGTGACCCCTCGCTCCTCCCCGGCTGGAAGCTGCTCTTACGCTGCTCATCTGCTTTGTTTTTAATTTCATTCCTTCCCAGCCCACTTCCTGTTCTGCTCTATGTAGGACACTTTTCCCTGTGCAGGGGGAGCTTCGTGGTAATCCCGGTCGCAGATGGAAATGCCCTGCATCCCGTGTTTCTCACTTGTCTTCCGCATGAGTTTTATTGTAGTTTGGAGCACGTTTAGCTCAACCCTACATTGCACGGCACTRTCTAATTCTGTTAATATCTAACAATCTATTTTGTATCGTAAGTTACTTCAGCCTAAAATAGGRCACTATAGAACCGAGGTGCATAGCAAAGCTAGCTGCTAAAGCAAACTCTGGAGTTACGATGGATACTGGTTTTCCACAAACCTCTGCAGCATTTTCTCTTAAGAAAATAATTTCTTTTTTCCTTTTCTTTCCTTTTTTTTCCTTCTGCTGTAAACATTTTAGGTTTAAAKGCCAGGCACAGTGGTTCCTGCACATTTCAGACAGCAAGACATGTAATTGCAATTAGTATTATATATTTCKTAAAAGACTGATTACGAATTGTACCATTTGTTGGGATCCTATTGGAGAAATGAGGCATTGAATGCACTTCAAAACACAGCCCCGTATAATTGTGACAGCAGAAGGCAAAGTCCTGCTAGACACTCGCTGAACACGTACTGGGCATTTCCTCCCTGCATCTCCAATTACCAGCGGTAGATGGAAATTTATGGAATGTTACCCCACTCCATTTCAAGCTATTCATAGACTGTCTTTTCCATCAAGGTGGCAGGTGAAAGCAGAAGGTTCAGGGTTCATTTTTAGAAGTGCAATATGCTGCGTTACGTGTATAATCACAGTGTTGGCACATACTGAAAATCTGTCCCAGCCTGACACTAAAACATCTCATTCAGCTTGTCAAGGCCAAAAGGTTTGCATTTACATAAAGGACCACTGCTCTTTAACGTTAAAGAATGATGGCCGGTTTCCAAATACATTATTTTAATCGTATTCAGCCTCCTCTAAAACGCTTGAGGTTGAGACCCTCCCAGACATGTCATGCAGAGATGGAAAATTACTGTATAGAGAAAGGGAAGTCACCCTGGTAGGCTGCACTGCTCACTCACGGAAGAGCTGCCTCCCAGATCAAAGGGAAATGCAACTACTGCTTATCCACCAACACCTTTGGGCTCCCATCACTGGGAAGAGGCATGAAACTCGCACACCTTCCACCTTCAAAAATACACAGCACCCGTTCTGACCACCCTTAACCGCTATTGCTGGAGGAAAGGAAAAGACTCAACTCCAGCCCTATGAAATTCCTCTTCTCTGAACAACTTTGCCCACTTTGATCTGCAGCCGTATTTCCTCTTCACCTGAATGATCCTGCTAAGAATGAACTGCCATGAAGCACGCATGAAAAAATGATCTTATTTTTTCTTTCATTCTTTAGTTTGACCGAAATCCATAGTTTAGTGGATCAATTTGTTTATAACCTTCTTAAAATAATATTAGCTGAAATACCACATGTAAGTATTTGCATGCTCCTTTACACCTTAAATGGCTTGGCTTATTACTTGCAAACTCAGAGCACAAACCGATCAGGAAGCCGAAAACACTAAACTGTAACTTCTTTTGGGGATCTAACAGATTGTTAAAATTGAACCATAAACAATGATGTAGCTATATGTCTTGTTATTAGTGCTCATCTTTTGTTTTACTTA